GGACGTAGCAAGCTCATACCTCTGCAACGGTACTGGACCGCCTTCGTTTGATCTAATCGGCTCTTCGTTCTCCGTCTCATCGAGATTTCGACAACACAGGGGTAGATCAAGACGTAAGAAGTGCCTATACGAATGAAATAGATAATTCACAATGGATTTCAATAATGCACATAGACTACGCACGCCGTAGCAGACAGTGAGCTCGCGCAATCTGTTCAATCAGGAAATATCATGCAGCAAAAACCACTTAATATACGAACCTAGCCAGAAGATTCTACATACCTCAACTGGCTCGGTTGCATCGACTGATACGACAACCTCTCAAGCACATAATAAAATGGATGTAATAGGATGTGATTTTCACAAAGGAAGAGCTTCGATGCGATAGAAAGCAGATGCTTCGGCATATCCACCTAGATGAACATGTCATGTTGAATCTAAAAAAGTGGTTGGAAAACTTACCTGGCACATGAGTTGCTGATTTCTTTCTGGTTTGAGTAGGGCCTTTAGCAACAAGCCACAGTAGTATTGAGCACTGACTAACCATTTGACATTTTCAGAGTAGATAGAGGGTAGCAAGGAAAGGATAGATTGTACTGCACCAGGATGAACCTGACACAAAATGCATGTTTGGCAAAGCTATTTGAAGTTGGATTACAATTTTAAAAATCTGACAAAAAGTCTGAATTGCTTACTAAAACTGACGAAGTCCATGAAACAATGCATTCCTCGAGCGACCCTTCTGATGACGTCCATGTTACATCCGAAGACATCCTAGTAAATTTTGAATGTCTCTACTATAACATAATCACAAGCAAGGACAAACTTCTCATAGTTATCCAGTGCCATGTTGAAAAGGAGTCGAATGATGTAACTAGCAAAAAAGATAGAAGGAGGCATACCAGCAGGAATTGATCTTGAACATGAAGGTATTTTTGCAGCAACATCGACATACTTTTTGAATAAAAAGAAATTTGAAAATCCTACCCAGCTTGAACCTCCTCGTCCATTTTGAAAACAGAATGGCAAGCCGCAAGTTCATTTTTGAGATCAGAGCCCTGTAAGAATGAAACCGAGTGAACAAGAACAAATTAACATTCGAAGAAGGTAGAAAATGATAGTTAATCTCAATATGTACAGGTTGAGAGAAGTCACAATTTGTTAAGAGCAATAAGTTAACCATCAATACCTGTAACTTCCACTCCGGCTGGACAACGTCAACAGCGGTACTCTCACCAAAAGCTCCAGTTAAACGGAGTACTGTGGTGATGCTATCCCAGTTCACCTTAACATACAAGAGTCTTCAAAAATTTTTTTTGGTCTACTTATCTACCTCCACAGAAAAGTACTTGGCGTTGGACGGTTCAAATCGCATACTGATGGTAAGCACCTTGAAAATGAGATGAATAAAGTCAAGTAGCTCAACTGCTTCCGCAGGCACTGTTCCTAAACCAATACAACGCACTTTCTTCCTCTTTTCTTCGGAGAAGCAAAGTTACTTGAGCATTACTGCTGATGAGAAATCATTGTAAAGATAAAACGGCCCAAATAAAAGTGGATGGTAGTACCTCCTGCACCATCGATTTGTGAGAAAGCTCCCTCCAGCCCAAGAAGCATAGTTATTAATCCCAAATAACCTCCTGTCTTGCGAAATTGGACTCGTACTTTATGACTTTCTCGTAGCACTCCTAGCACTGTCTGTAAAAATAATATTTCCCGTAAAGCTATCATAAGCATCTAAGGCAATTACTGAAATGAAACAAACCTTCAACAGGTCGACATTAAACTCAAGTTGCTGTTGTGGAGGAACTTGGCTGATAACCTAAAATCTTGTGTTTGCAAGTGTAGGCTTTGAAAGCGTATGACAGACCTGGATGACACCTGCTACGTACTGGTCCGTGGATGCCAACAAAAGAAGCTGTTTGAGCAACTGCAAACTGCTACTTCTCCATTCCCCTGTCACCACAGTCAACACACTGAGCAACATTCGAGCACCGAAACAATCAGAAAACATTCCTGAATCGGAAAAAATATGCGAAAAAAATTGAAAAGTATGAAGCACTGACGAGCATTCTCCAAGTTTCCTTTGATTATAACTGTTAGCAAATCCGTGGCCAATAAGGTGAGCTTCTTTTCATTTTCGTTTAGGCTCCGCTCTACGAATAAAAAATATAGAAAATATGGGCAAAAATTCTTAATGTTTCCAAGACACAGACCATTAAAGGTGATTGATTGAATGAAACGAAGGGCTTACGTTTATATTGCGAGAATAGATTATTTATAATATAGCATAACGTGTCTAGTAAGCCA